CAGCTCCACTTCAAGTTTTCTGGTGATTTATTGGAGATAAGAGTTTCACGGACTTTCCTGCCTGGGCTGGCTTTGAACCATGATCCTCAGATCTCAGCCTTCTTAGAGCTAGTATTACAGGCATGAGCCACGGATGTCCAGCCTCCATTTTTGATTTTTAGTAATAACATATTTGGAAGTGCTCAAATACTGCACAGTAAGACAAAATAAATCACCCTTAATCACAAGTTTATTCTTGGTGTATACATATAATTGTTGTTACATTTCAACATAAAAAGTTTACAACATTTCTATAAATAATAAAGCATTTTTTTACATGAAGTATTCTTGACCTCCTAATAGAGGTATGCATTTCCCTTCTAGGAAGACAACCTCATTTAGCCTGGCTTGCTTTTGAGCAAGTATACAGAGCCTGGGCTTCATATGGATCATAGAAAATGTTTTTACCAGTTTCCCCATCTCCCATTGCTAATTGATGTGTTTATTCAGTTGACTGAGCCAGTTGGGTCAAAACTGCCCCAGTGGGAGAATTCTTACTCTGTGCTATGTGCCTTTGTCACATTCCCAGCAGGCTAAGGTAGAGAATGGAGACACAAGTCAAAGCCAAGAGTTAGAGCCTGAGGACAAGTCCCCTTAGCTATGTGAATGCTAACTTGGAAACTTTGCTACCAGTTGTTTAGTAGACCCTACCAAAGGATTCCTGGATGTGATACTCATGTGCAGAGGACACACATCTGCAGACCCTTTGCTGTTCTTTTTTTGTTCCTTTTCTAATCTACCTGAATTTGGTTCTTTTCTTTTTCACATCTGTGTTCAAACCTGAGATGCTTGTGTATGTCTCATATAGCTAACCGGGACAGGTCAAGCACCAACCAAATAATTTGCAGGAAAGGGGAAAGAATTATTTTCATCTCTCCTAGGAATCCCAAAATATTTACGGGAAAATCATATACCTCTGAAATTATATCCTGACCTAGAGATAATGAAAATAAGTTATAAAGTATTGGTGACCAAAAAGGCTTTTTTCTGAGAAATGTTGTGGGTGGCTAAAAACAATTTAATGTTTTATATAGCATAATAGCTAAAGGGAAGATTTTTTTTATGTATAGCAATTCTTAGTTGAAAGTAGAGCTGATGCTTGAACACTGGAGACAGGTTTTAAGAGTGTGTAACTTTTAAGACAAGAACCAGGACTGTTTTTCTCTAGATAAGCTACTTGGGCTTGGGTGTTTATTTTGTTGTTGTTGGTGGTGGTAGTGGTGTTGTGAGCAGCACATTAATTCACTCCATTAGCAAGTTGATGTCCTCTTGTTGCTTATATGTTTTTGTCATTATCTTTGCCATTAAAAACAATATCATTTGTAGATTTTATTACAAAATAGTATGGGCTTTTAGGGGCATAGGAAAACCTGGGGGGATTGGGTAGATATAGTTCCCTATCTTGATCATGGTGATGATGTCATGAGGATACTTGTGTATGTGTCAGAATTTACCTAATTGGATATTGTAAATAAAAGAGTATACTTTAATGCATGACCGTTATACCTCTATAGAATTATATTAAAATTCCTTGCTTATTTTGATAACAAGAAAAATGGACTTAGCCTAATGATCAGTGTTTCCATGACTGCTACTGAGTTTGGGCCATTTGTAATTCATCCTATGTGAGTTGTTCAGGTATATCCTTCCATCTCTTTTTCTGTCTGTGTATTTTTGTGGGTGTCTGACTTCTTAATAGGTACAACTCACTTGAATTAGGAAGTAGTGGTAATAACATTTTCCTTCTTACTGTTGCTAATATTTTAACTCATTTGATTTTTTTGTTTCATTCATTTGGTAGTAGGAATGTTTTGGGGGGTTATTTTGTTTTGTTTTTGTCAGTTCTGAGGCTTGAACTCTGGGCCTGGACACTGTCCCTCAGCTCTTCAGCAAAAGGCTAGCACTCTACCACAGCGCCACTTCTGGCTTTTTCTGTTAGGTGGTGCTAAGGAATCGAACCCAGGGCCTCATGAATGCAAGGCAAGCACTCTACCACTGAGTCACCTTCCCAGCCCAGTAGGAAGGTTTTGAACTCAGGTCCTTGCTCTTGTTAAACAGGTACTCTATAATCACTTGAGCTAGTTTTGCTTAAGGTCTCATGTTTTTGCCTATGGTTGGCCTGTGTCAAGATCCTTCTACTTACTACCTTTACAAAGTGCACCAACATGCCCAGCTTGTTGGTTGAGATGTGATCTTGTCTCTCTAATCTTTTTTAGTGGGATTACACGTATACACTAACTCACCTAGCCTCTTCTTTCTATCTTAGCAAACATATCTAAACCTGTCGTTTTTCTGTTCCATTTTTTTAGGCTTCTGATCTTGAAAATCCCACATATCCCAATTGTCCTATTTTCTTGCATTTCATATTTTTTAGTACATAACTTTCCTAAACACTAAGATAAATATCTCCTTTTTTTTCTGTCAGTTGTGGGGTTTGAACTAAGGGCGTAGGCGCTGTTGCTGTCCCTGAGCTCTTTTGCTCAAGGCTAGTGCTCTACCACTTTTGATTCACAACTCCACTTCCAGGTTTTGAGTGGTTAATTGGAGATAAGAGTCTCACGGGGACTTTTCTGCCCTGGCTGGCTTCAAACTGCAATCCTCAGATCTTAGCCTCCTGAGTAGCTAGGATTATAGGTATGAGCTACCAGTGGCTGGCTTTTCTATTTTTTTTCTATATACTCTATAAATTTCTATATATTACATAAACTTTCATTTGTTTTCATATTGTTCTCTTGATCACTTCGTATATGATCTCACTGCTTATAGTTTTAATAGATAATAGATTATATCTTACTTTCAAGCTTTCTTCCTTCTTCTCCCCCCCCCCAACTCTTTGGAAATTTTCTCTACACAAATTAGAAAAGTGTTTCATCTACTTCTTTTTCCAGACATCCACTTCTGATTGAGAAAGACATTAGGAATATATTTATTTGGAGAAAGACTAATAGTAGTTCTATTTTATATTATTTCCTAAACTGTATGGTTTACATTAGACATTTTGATGCCCTACTCTTGATAGTATGTGTATGTATCTCTTCTTGGATTCTTTTCTGTTTCATATGTTTGTCCTTAAACTGGTAAGAAGAGTCTGTTTGGATACTATAGATTAATAGTGAGTCTTGAACAGATAATGTTATTAAAGTATCCAGTTTTTGTTCTTCTCTTTGAAAATTGTTTTAGCTATTCTATTGTAATTATATTCATTTTAATAACCATTTGTCAGTTCAAACAAAAGTGCCTGTGAGGTTGTGATGGGTATGTGGGAGTGGTGGCCATTTAAGAATATTAAGTGTTCTGATCCTGCATCTTTTTCATTTATACCAACCTTTATAAATTTGTTGTTTCTATAAAAATAAATAAATATAAATTTGTTTTTTTCTATAAAAATAAATTTGTTGTTTCATTTTATACAGCGTGAATGTTGTAATAATGGTTAAACCTTCCTCTAAAAAAAATAATAGCATGAGTTGGAAGCCAAGTGACTCATGCCTATAAATCCTAACTACTCGGGAAGCTGAGATATGAGTATCATAGTTCGAAGCCATCCCAGGCAGGAAATCATGAGACTCTTGTCTCCAATTAACTACCAAAAAGCACTACGTAGAGCAATGGCTCAAGTGGTAGAATGCTAGCCTTAAGCAAGAAAGCTCTAAGGGACAGCATCCAGGCTCTGAGTTCCAGCCCCAGGACCGGCACCAAAAAGAAAAGAACATGAGATCTTTCTCATGGATTCTGACCTAGTACTTAGTAGCTATCAAGGTCATGGAGAAAGGTCATGGAGATGATGTTTAGAAGATGTTCTAGAAAGCACAAGTTCCTGCCTCTTAGAGGGAGGAGATCGCCTCTCAAACTGAGAAGAAAGGATAATTGATATGAGAGGGAAAAACAGATGATTATTTTCTCATTTGGAAGAAGTGATGCTCATAGCTGGCAGGAAACCTAGTGACCGAAAGCTAGATTATTTTTTCTTTATACTGTGATGCTTGACACCTAGAGATTAAGTTTTAATAATACTCTTCTGGGGACTGGGAAGGTGGCTCACTGGTAGAGTGCTTGCCTCGCATGCATGAGGCCCTGGGTTTGATTCCTCAGCGCCTCATAAATAGAAAAAGCTGGAAGTGGCACTGTGGCTTTAGTGGTAGAGTGCTAGCCTTGCGCTAGGGACAGTGCCTAGGCCCAGAATTTAAGCCCTACAACTGACATAATAATAATAATAATACTCTTCTGAAGTCTACAGTCCATATTGTCTTGTTCTGAGACCTTTCAGTAGCATTCTCCCAGTTGCTGTGAATTGTAATTTGAAGGATTTTATCTCTTTCTCTTAGGTTTCTTCTTTAAGAATCACTAAAGAATTAGACCCCACTTGCAGTTTATTTTGTAAGAGAAATTTCTACCACCCCCAGTATTGGGATTGAACCAAGATTTCTTTCACCCATGCTAGGCAAGTTTAGCTCCAGGTTTGTTTTTTTTCTAATTTGGCTTAAAGGATTTTTTAAATACAGGTTTGAACTTAGGGCCTTATACTTGCTTAACTTGCTCACTTGACTGATGTTTTACCATCTGAGCCTCACCTCCAACCCTGCTTTTTGTTTGTTAATTTTGGAAATGGAGGTGTGTGGACTTAGGTGTACAGGCTGGCATAAAAACAAACTGCCATCCTTCAGATCTCAGCCTTCCAAATAGGATTACAAGCGTGAGCTGCTAGTGCCCAGCAAAGGAAACTTTTTACCTATGGCATCTGGTCAACTTTAATGTAGTCCTGGAAATATCTGATAGCCACAAATAGGCACAAGTTGGAGTGTGCATGTGTGTCTACTGAAGTATGTCTGTACAGGCATGTATAATAATTTTTCCCCAATCCTGGCAGTAAGTGTTCAGAGACTTTTGTATATTTACCTTTAGAGTAATTTATAATTAGAATTTAAATAACATTATTCTCCTTTTCTCTCTCATCTTTCTAGGGTAACCAGGAGCCAACAACAACTCCTGACGCAATGGTTCAGCCTTTTACTACCATCCCTTTTCCACCACCTCCGCAGAATGGAATTCCCACAGAATATGGAGTGCCACACACTCAGGACTATGCCGGCCAGACCAGTGAGCATAACCTAACGCTCTATGGGAACACACAAGCCCACGGAGAACAGAGCAGCAATTCACCCAGCACACAAAACGGATCTCTCACGGTATGTGACTTAGGAGTTGGATGTAAAGGATGCCACACTAAAGTCTTCCCTGAAATTAATTCAATAAACCCCTTTGAATTAATCTAGTGCTCATATTCCATTTCATAGTGTACATGTAACTTCAGTTCTACTCCAGGCATTGTGATCACGATATAGGGAGCTGGAATTAGACCTCCTAGTCATTGCCTAGGAGCTTTAATACATTATATATGGTAGTGAAAGTAAAGTTAGGAGGCTGGGAATGTGGCTTCATGGTAGAGCGCTTGTCTAGCATGCGTGAAGCCCTGGGTTCGATTCCTCAGTACCACATAAACAGAAAAAGCCAAAAGTGGCGCTGTGTCTCAAGGGGTAGGGTGCTAGCCTTGAGCTGAAGAACTCAGGGACAGTACCCAGGCCAGAGTTCAAGCTTCATGACCCGCCAAAAAAAAAGTAAAGTTAGGGGTATTGGCTCTTTTCTATCTCTCCAAGAACCTCCATGATGCCAAATCTCACAACGTCTGTCTCACCTACAGTCTCTCAAGGAGCATTCTCTTCCCTCCTCACCTCTAAATACTTGCCCTTTTGCTTTTCTGCCCTCCCAGCTTTTCTTCACAGCACTAGATATTTTGCTGGTTCCTTCTTTGTTCAAGTATTAAGTATTGCAGTGCTCCAAGATTGGGTCATGGAACACCTTTTCCTGTTCTATGTGTTCTCTCTCTGTAATTATACCACCTAATGTTACTCAAGCAACACCTAAGAACATAGGTGTTCCTAAGTCCTTCCTTCCTTCGTTCCTTCCTTCCAGCTACCCATGAGTACTGGGGCTTGTACTGGGTGTTGTCTTTTTGCCCTTTTTTTTTTTAATCAAGGCTATCCCTCTACCACTGGAGCCACAACTTCTCTTCTGGCTTTTTTGCTGGTTAATTGGAGATAAAAGTATCATGGACTTCCCTGTTCAGGCTGGCTTTGAAAGGGATACTCAGGTCTCAGCCTCCTGAGTAGCTAGGATTAACGGCATGAGACACCAGCACCTGGCCAATCTTTCTTAATATTCTTCATCTCTACTTGTAATCCATTAACAAGTCTTGGCAACTATGTTCCCAAACATTATACTACTTCACACTCTTCTTTTCATCTTACCACAGATGGGATAGCTTAGCTCTTTACCAGACTGCTTTAATCTCTCTGTGCCTTTGTTTGAGAAGGTACATGAAGTTAACAGTACCTGAAGAGACTGTTGGGAGATTTTGATTCAGGTATTATGTGTATCATCATCATCATCATTATCATTGTCACCACTCTAGTCCAGACTGTATCATGTCTTCCCTGTGTTACTGCTGCCTGACCTATCAGAAAATTTTTGTTTCTTAATTCAAATTATGCTATTTTCCTGCTTCATTCTAAAGGTTTTCTAACACAATTAAAGTCCAAACTTCATGCTTAGTTTTCTAGTCCCTAATCCTTCCCACCCATTTGACCTCACCTCTTACTACTTACTTGACAAAGTAAAAGGAAATGTCATAAGTTAACAATAGATATGTACCAACATGTTATTCTGTAAATTGTACTATGGAATTTTATTCCAAGAGTAACAAGATTCTGTACTCTCAGAAGAGCTATCTCTAGCTTTTAGATTTCATTTTTCCTTTTCTATTTCAGATTATCAGAAGAGAGCTTTATTCAAATTAAGGAACTTACAATATTTACTTCCAAACAGATTCTATTGCATAGAGGTTCTATTGCATAAAGATAGACTTAACCCACAAATACTTGCCATTTTTTCTTGTTAGATATTGGGCCCCTTCCCAAGAAGCACCTTTCTTTCTTGAAAGTTATTTTTTTCCACTGGTGATTATTTTTAAGAATAATTTTACACTTACTAAGTAATGGGCTATAATAGACATGTGTTTGCAGTCTAGTCATGACAAGTTAACAGATGAGGCTTTCTGTGGCATTTGTTTTGGCGTCACGAATGTACAGTCTGTATGATAGGCACTATTTCGAAATGATTTTTAAATGGTCATGGCAGTTTCAATGAAAGGAATGAGGAAGAAGTATAAAATATATGTCTGAGTCTTTGCAAAGTATTTTAGTTACTAAATGTAATTCTATACTAGTTATTGGTCTTTGTGTTTCCTATTCCTTTTTTATTTCTGTTGTCTACTTGTCAATTTTGGTTATGTCTTTCTAGGCATCTTATTTTATCTAATTTTATAATTTTGTTAGTAGAAAAGTATTCATAATAATACATAATCCTTTGGATTTTCTGTAGCCTTTGTAGTAATATCCCATGATTTAATTTTGATAATTTATGTCTTTTCTCCTTTTTTTAGGTCAGTCTAACTAAAGTTCATTAATTTTGCAAATCTTTCTAGAAAACCAGCTTTTGGCTTCAGTTGTTAAATTTTCCTACCCTTCCTTCTCTCCCACCCCATTAGTTTTTATTTTGTTGTTTTTCTGGTTCATATTTTGTTGATTTCCACTCTGCTCTTTACAGTTTGCTGCCTGACGCCTCTCTGGGTTTGATTTGACCTTATCTTTATAGCTCTTTGAGTTAGAAGTTAAGATGATTGATTTTAGGTTTTCTTCCTTTCTATGTTTGAAACTAAAGCTTACCTTAATTATCTTTCAGCTGGATCCCATAAAAGATTATAGATTATAGTTTCATTTTCATCTTATTCCTTTATTCTGTGATCTTGAATTAATAAAAATATGTTGCTTTTCAAATGTTTAAAAGATTTCCAAAGTTTCTTTTGTTATTTATAATTTAGTTTCTTTTACGATTTGAAAACATACTTTGTATGTTTGAAGTTCATTGAAATGTGCATGGTGTAGTAGAGGCTAAGCCACAAGACATTCCCAACCACTTTTCCCTCTTATCAGTATAAAAGTTCTTTGTCTGGAGTGATAGTTCCTGCCTTAACGTTGAAGTATTAGAGATTGAATTCAGAGCCTTGCAAATACTAAGCAAGCATTTTATGCTGAGAGCTTTGTCCCCAGTATCCCCTTCCCCTTTTAGTGCATTTCTTTTCTTTTCCTTTTTTCTTTCTTTTCTTTTCTTTTTTTTTTTTTTTTTTTTTCTTTTTTTTTTTTTTTTTTTTTGGTCAGTCCTAGGGCTTGAACTCTGGGCCTGGGCACAGCCCCTCAGCTCTTCAGCTCAAGGCTGGTGCTCTACCACTTGAGCCACAGTGCCACTTCCAGTTTTCCAGGCTGGCTTTTATCATATTTTGTTTTTGAGACTTAAGTTTCCTCACTGCTTTTCCCCAGGCTAGTCTGGACCTCAAGATCTTCGTGGTTCTACCTCCCAAAGTAGCTAGGATTTTAGCCTTATAGTCACCTTCACTCTCAGATTACTTTGGCCCTTTTTGTTTGTTGTCCCTGAGCTAGTGCCCTACTATTTGAGCCACAGCTTCACTTCTGGCTGTTTTTATGCTTAATTGGAGATGAGTCTCATGGTCTCTGCCTGGCTTTGAACTATGATTCTCAGATCTCAATCTCCTGAGTAGGATTACAGAAGTATCAGCATCAGACTACTTTGCCCCCCCCACTCCCCCAGCTTTTTTTTGTCCTTTTCTTTTTGGTACTAGGGATTGAACCCAAGACTGCACTTGGTAGCCAAGCGCTTTGCCACTTAGCTACATCCCAGCCAAATGCTTGTTGCTGTTTGCATGTCTTTTTCAAGCACCTGTTTCAATTTCTTTTAAAGCACATCTTATTTAAAAAGATAAACAAGGATCGAGGTTCAAAGCCAGCCCAGGCAGGAGAGACCGTGAGACTCTTATCTCCAATAAATCACCAGAAAACCGGAAGTGGTGCTGTAGCTCAAGTGGTAGAGTGCTAGCCTTGAGAAGAGCTGAGGGACAGCACCCAGGCCCAGAGTTCAAGCTCCACGACCAACAAAAATAAAAAATTAAAAAATAAACAAACAAATAGACTTACATACAACTGGGTCTTCTTTCTCCCCAGTTTGAAAATTTCTACCTTTCTATTGGTACGTATAGGTCATTTACATTTTACATTATTAATACAGGTAGACTTGCCATTTTCTATATTTTATCTTTTTGTTTCCTCTGTGCCATCTTATTGATTCATTAAAATTTTATTGTATCCATTAAATCCCTTTGTTTTTTTTATTAGTTGTTTATTTTTTGAAGGGAGGCATTTAGGTCTGGGTTTTGTTTTTTTTTATGAAGTTGGAAATTGAACCCAAGGCCTTTCACATGCTAGACAAGTGCTACCACACACAGTTTTTAATTTGTATTTTTTTGTGTTTTCTTTTATTTTTTCCTCTTTCTTTTTGTTCAAGACTTGGATTTGAACTCTTGATCTGAATGAAGCTTTCTCTCATTGTCTGACACTCTAGACAATGTCTCCTACCTCATGTTTTTGTATTTTCTTAATGCATGGTCAGAGATTACAATTTGGATTTATCATAACCTATGGAGGTATGTATTATTCTGGCAAAATATGATGCTTTACTACAGTATAGCTCCATGGACCACACTCTGTGCTATATTGTTGTGTGTATATATACATGTAGCAGACTATAGTCATGTATATATGTGTAAAGTACTTAAACATAGTAGAAATAAAACAATATAATTATTACTTTAAGTAATCTTAAGGTTATTTTTTAGTGCAGCTTAGATTCATATCAAAATTGAAGAGCAGTGCATATTCTGCACATATCTGTGCATGCACGTATGAGTGCACATACACATTCACTGTGGAATATTACATAGCCAGAGGAAAATGAAATCAACCCACTTACAGGAAAATGGTTGGCATTGGAAGACATAATGAATGAGAGAAAATGAGCTTCATTGTATTTCATCTAGGAGTGGATCTATTTTGAGGGGGGGTGGTCTTTTGAGATTTTTTCTATCTGTAGATTCATAACTTCCTCATCAAACTTCCGATGTTTTGACCTTAATTTTTTTTTACAAATATTTTTCTTTTTCCTTTTCTTCCTGGTTCTCATTACATATACATTGAGATACTTGGTGATTTCCCAGTCTTTT